CCCCCCCCCCCCACACACACGCTCAGAGAGATACCTCATGCGCATTTCGTGTGTTGTGTGTGTCATGTCAGCTGGTGGTGGGTGTGTTGCCCGCGGCGGGATCGATGCACTCTGTTGGTTCGCAGGGCAGCCAGACGCACCCACACACTGCCGACGCAGAGAGGGGGGCGCCCGACGACGGCGAGCCGGGCAGGAAGGTCGTCATACGAATCATCGACGCCAGAAGGTCGGCCATTCCACCCACCAGCCAACTCACACACACACACACAGCGCACAGAGCTCACAGAGAAAGACCTCCTTCTGTGTGTGTGTGTGAGCAGGTTATCTCGCTACATCAGCGAGGAGATCCGTCTGGACTTCATGAAGCTCCTCAGCCTGACCCACCCCAACCTGCTGCAGGTCAAGGAGCTGGCGGAGGTGCCCACACCGCAGCGCCGCATCTGGGTGGTCTACCCACACTTGCCCGGCTGTCTCTCCCTCTACACGCTTCTGCACACCGACCTGCCCGGCGACCCAATGCCCCCGCCATCGCCCGAGGACTCGCCTGCCAGAAGTGAGAAAGAAACACAGCCACGGAGGGAGGGAGGGAGGGAGGGAGGGGCTGCTTGTTGGAGGGATGGGGGGATGGGTGCAGGTCTGCCTGAGTCGAGGTTCAGCACGGGTGCCTCGGGGGGGCACACGGCTGTCTCAACGGGCCATGGCTCACTCACAGCGCCCAAAACACTCAAGGCCAAGCTGCAGGTGCGTGTGTGAGACTCCATCCATCCATCCATCCCTGTGCTGTGCCCTGATTGGCCTTCTGTCCCTCTCTGTGTGGTGGGTGTGGTGTTCTATCAGTATGTTCGTCAGGTGGTGTCGTGTTTAGTGTATCTGCACAACGAGGGCCGCCCCCACGGCCACCTCACCTCCCACAACGTCATCGTCTCGCCCACACACAGGGCGTACCTCACTGACCTGGGCTTCCACTCCCTCAAGAGGTTCGGCACACACACCCTTCCATCCATCCATCCATCTCTGTGTGTGTGTGTGTGTGTGTGTGTGCAGGTTTCTGGCCGTGTTGGGTGTGTATGAGTTTCGGTCGGCGTGGTCCGCCCCCGAGATCCTGTCGGGTCAGTCAGTCAACGACAGAGACACACACACTCTCTTTGACTGATATGGCTGGTGTGTTGATGGACTACTGCAGGCGAGTGCCGCGTGTTCACCGCCGAGACCGACGTGTATTCGCTGGGCATCCTCATATGGGAGGTCTGCACCTCCATCGAGCCCTTCGGGGGCTCCAACATACAAACCATCAGAAAACTCGGTACGTCAGTCAGTCAATAAGTGTCTCCTGGTGTGTGCTGGCATCTCTGCCTGTGGGGGTGTGTGGGCGCGTGTGTGTGATTGTGTGTGTGACGCAGTTGTTGAGGGCAAGAAGCGCCCCGAGCTGCCGGCATCCATCCCGAAGGACCTCGCCGGTTTGGTGAGGTCATGCTGGCAAGACGCGCCTGAGAAGAGGTATACCGTCTGCCGCCCCACCCCACCACCCTGCCTGGGCGGCGCGGACCTGTTGGTTGGTGCGGTGCAGTGCTTTGATGTGTGTGTATGTGTTTGTGTCAGGCCGACGATGTCAGCGGTGCTGCGTGCGCTCGACAGCATCATGGACAACATGCGGTCATGACGATGATCGGCGGAGGGAGGGAGGGAGGGAGGGATAGTCGGTGTGTGTGGTGTGAAGTGTGTGGTGTGAGCTCATTGGTGTGTGCGTAATTCGGTGTCGGTGAGTGGACAACGACCCACGACAGGTCAGGTGTGTGTCGTCCTTGCCGTCCTTGTGGTGTGCATTTTGTTATGTCGTGTGTTGTGCCACACACAGTGGACAAACGAGCATTGAGTCTGACCGTTGACAGACACATCAAACGTCTCTCAAACTCATCCACCACACACACACACACACACAAACACACACACATATCACGATCACAACCACAATCCCTCGCCACCACAGCTCACTCGGCTCAGCTCAGCTCGGCATAGCTTAGGCCCCTTCCCACTCGACACACCACAACACACCACAGCACAACACACGAAAGGTATGGACACAGACACAGACACAGACACGCAGCAAACAGCTTAAGCCTCCATTGGCCCATGTACACCACACGCACACGCGCACACCCCCTCACGAAGAAACGTTGCCAGGAAGAGATTCCCTCCGGGTCTTCCGGGGTCTTCCGGTGGCTTGAAAGGCGCACCAATCACCATCCATCCATCCATCAGTCAGTCAGTCAAACGGCACGGCTGCACCGATTGCCCCAGGGAGAGAAATACCCCATAAGCTTAGCCCAAAAACGACACAGACAGACCCGACCCCAATCAGGTGCTCTCCCCCCCCCTCCCCCTCTCCCCGTCTCTCCCCTGCCCTGTTCCGCATCGACAAAACAGAGAAAAATGCTGCCCCGTCGCAACGCAACGCCCTCGGCCGGCCGAGAAAAACACGTCAACACACAAACGGTTGAACCAAGTCCCTCTGTCGGTCAAGGCACTCTCACGAGCATCTCATGAACACACACACAAAAACACCTACCTCTCAAGACCCC